GACTGTAGGTCTGAATTCCACATAAAATAAAGTCTAATAAAATCCTAGCTAGGACACGCATGATTTCAGCTTCATGTGACAAAACTCAATCGGAATTATTGCTGGGTTGTTTTGTTTTTTTACACCAAAGTGCACTAGCTCTGACCAGAAACTGGTAAAGGATTTGTCAAAAGCTCAAATTGGAATGGATAACACACACACACTTTACTCTTTCTCTGCAAATTGAAAATCCGTCACTGGCTGGCTTTATTCACATTCAGAGCATCTGAATAAACAATCGAAAATTGCAGGGACTACATTAAATGATAGATATTAACATTTCCCAAGTTTATTGATTGCTCGTTAGAAAAGTAAAGTAAAAAGCAGCTCCCTGGTGCTGTGTAATTGACAGTATCTATTTCATATGAAAAGGAGGTTTGAATGGGTTAAAAATCCATTTGCTTTATCACAAGGAATGTCAATTTCCCATGTGTTAATGAATAACAGGAAGATCTACTAGATTTCACAAATGATTGCACGGTGAACTATAAACAGAGAGAAATAAAGTTACCAAATGGCAAGGAGGGCAGAGAAAAAGTCCTACATCCTTGCCCCATTCCTTTGCGTGTGCGTTGTCCCCTTGCTGGGAGAAGTACGGAGAAAGTAAAGAGATCACACGGAAAGACCACCAGCAAACATACACACACGACAGGCATAGTCACGGTAGTACACTCAAATGCCTCGTTAGAAATTTAAAAACACTTTACTGGGAAGTTTCGTCCAAGTTTAGTATTTATTGTTCACTTGGTCATTTTACTGTTAATTACATAACATAGAAAAACCATCGTGATTGTTTTCACTAAGGTCCACGTAAGATGCCGCAGAATGTAATGCCCGTTTTCGGTGGCAACATCACGTGAAGCCTGTGGAGCTCTGAAGAGTGGTTAATGTGAAATTATTTATCCAAACTATGTGTAGAACATTCAAGTAAAGCTCAACAAATACCTTTACCAAACGAGCTAGAAATGTCCTGACAGATTTACATCAAGTCTAGCCTTACAGCATTCTCTTTAAACATAAATGAGTTTAGATCTATATACAAATCAAAGACCTAAACAAAACATTAAAATGGCCATTAAATTCCAATTATAAGTATGATACCATACTTATAATTCTCCTAATTTGAGACCACATTAGATGTTAAAAGCCTAGTAATTACTTTGTTGGCTGATGAATTCTTTCCTTTCAACAACGGTCATATCGAATAATCGATCCACTCCTGCTCTGCTTTATACCAGCTTTCACTACAGCTGCCTCCTCTCAGGGGCTCTCACACAGGGGCTCCTCTGGAATCCAAAAGCAGACTAGTTTTCCTTAGGAAAAGCACTAGAGGGTCATTAACTAATCTGAAGAATGCCGAAACGGATACCCAAACCTCAAAACTATCATTGAAAACACAGGACAACAAGACAGACTACTCTCAACTATTTCCCCGTATAAGCCTTATCCGGTTTACTGGCTGGTTTGTAAAACTCACTCCAGGAGACATGGGTGCAACATAGTCACAGCAATAGTGGTCCAAAGAAAGTATTTTCCCAGGGGGGCGGGGGCGGAGGTGCAGAAGAGGGCCTGGGACAGAGAAAGGAAAGGCATCTGACATATCAACTGC